CAGATAATTTGAGCAAAGTTTGCAAAGTATAATCACATAATTACTGTGTGGTGTAAAGAAGTTGACATTCTGGTTAAAAGTTTCAATTGAATATTTACAAAATAATATAAAATAACCATTGATACTTGAATGCTTAAATTCTTTCAGTACTTCATTGTCTCTTTAATGCATGTTCTATTGCGTTAATCGGGAATGAGAGTTTGTCTGCTCACTTGAGATGCCTCACCAGTATTGAACTGTTTGAGAATGCCAAATACTATGCTAACCACTCCTTCATTGAGTCCCAGCATAAAAACGTAGCATTCACTTCATTTAAAAATGCCTTTGCCATGTGTGTATCTGATGCAGCTCTTACTTTTTTCGAGAATTGTAATGAAATGCAGCAGGTTTAGAAGAAGCAAAGGAAGCTGCAAAAATTACACATTCTCATCCATGGTGTGCATGTTTGCCTTGTCCACAGTAATTCAGTGTGTCATTCAGTCATTCTACCCACTCACCAATGATACTGTAGCGAAAGAAAATTGGGATTCCTTGGATTCAATTGTACAATACAGTATATCCACGGGATTATCTTGATGGCAGTGCAAGTGAATATGTCCATATCTTTCATTGTGCTGCGATGCCACCGTCTTATTTGGTTGATCAAAGAATTCTATCTACCAAAAATCATTTTGTTACCTTGTGCAAACCAGTTAAGACACTTCAGCCACGAGACCATTATTTTAAAGCACACCTTCCAACCTTATTGAAGTCTGCGATGCCAGTTCCTCCTAAAGTTTCTACTAAAGCTTTTTCTGCTCCTTCCTCTACACAAGTGACTACATTTACTAAAAAGCAGACGACTGGTCCAAAAAGAAAACAAATTAGCTTAGATCGATGCGCTTCTTGTGAAACGAGCGTGCAACACACAAGACACTGTAGACAGTGAAATCAAATTTCCCAGCACTAGTAAAGGAATTTCATCTGTAACTCCCAACACTGGTCCTACTTCAGAAAAATATAACACCAAAACACAACGAACTTCCACCAATTCGTGGCCAGATGATATCTAAACTACGTAAATCTGGTGTCCAGTCTTCCTGATTTAAAAAAGTACGAAATTCTGTGCAATCATTGCCATTGGAAACCTGGTTCTGACACGAAAATATTGGTAGACGTTTCCGGTTGGCATGGTTATCACGATTTCCATGGTTGGCTTACTCTGCTGTGGCAAACGGTGGTTTTTGCGTCACTTGTGTTCTTTTTGGCAATGAAAGCACGCATAATGCAAGCGAGCTCCAACGATTGATGACCAGTGCTCTTCCTCCAAGTGCTTCTGCTGTCCAGAAACTGTCAGCATGGTGAAAAATCCAATGTTCACGCAACGGCAACTCCGTGCTACACAGTTTAAGCGAATGATCGAGAATAAGACACTTGGTATCGATGTGCAGCTGAAAAAACCCACCCCGTAAAAGACCTACCTTGCAACTGAAACGCCAAGATGATTGAGTTCGATGTACAGCCCTAATTGGATATTTTTTGCTACGAAGAACCTGAAATACACAGGAACAGTACGTGCGGTACAGAATTGTGGTTTTATGTAAGTACAGTGATTTTGGGCATGTAGTAAAACACTGACTACCGGAACACCGGAACACCACCGGAACACCGCCGGAACACCGGAACACCACCTAACCCTAACCCTAACCCCAACCCTAACCCCCAACCCTAATCCTAACCCCAAACCCTAATCCTAACCCTAACCCCAAACAAAATGGTGGTGTTCCGGTGTTCCGGTGGTGTTCCGGTGTTCCGGTAGTCAGTGTTTTACTACATGTCGTGATTTTGTAACATTCTAATGTTGTAACGTTCGCTGAAGAACATGGTATGTTGTTTAAATATTTGACTTATTTAGTGCGTTTCGTTATTTGCTGTCTAAAATATGGCGTAATTAATGACGAATTATATGATAGAATTCGATGCTCAGAACTCAGGAAATGGCATTTCCGGGGTTCAAATTTCAAAAATTTTCCGGGGGGGAATGCCCCCGGACACCCCTAATTATGCGCGGTTTTGGAATGCGCCACGGTCAGGGTTTAGGCTGGATCCGCGCCTGACCGGAGCAGTCACATGGATCTCCGGATGATATATCAAAACTTTTAAAACTAAAGAAACATTTATCTATACATTGGACACTCTACTGAACTGATAGGATGCGCAAGAACTTTATACTATATAACCTTTCCGCATATATTCACTTTTGTTAGTTCTATTTATTCATTTTTTATCAGGGCTCCAGAGGCGCCGGAATATCGATAATAGCGGGGGCAGATATTCATATATTCGTGTTCACAGACTATAAAAACAATCGATTTCAAAAGAAATTAATTGGGCAGAACACGAATATATGAATACCTGCCCCTCTCAATTATCGGTATTCCGCGCCTCTGCAGGCTCCACTGAAAATCACTTTTGTGAGTGGACTACTGACTAAATATTGTAATCAGTATTATTATTAATTATGTTATAATAGGACAAGATTTCGTTGTTAAAGTTCCGAATGCGACATTTTAACGTTGATATTGCTGATGCAAAAGTCGGCAGCAAAACTTTGGAGCCTAACGTTTCCATGCCTAAAGTCATTGCCGTAAACTCCTCTACCCCGTATGGTCCTAGTGTTTATTTCAGACCCAATATTGATTGATTCAGCCGTAACATGACTAAGCCGGTTACCGGTAAAATGAAGACATGAATTCCAAGAAAATTAATAATTTTAATTTTTTTATGCAGACGGAGGGAAATATAAAAGAGACAGAGCGCGCTAGTGTGGGAGGTTAATCAATTTCTTCCTACGTAATAAGCGAAAGCTAAAGTCGGCTGGTTCTTAGAAAGAGACCTGTTTGTTAGGGAGTTTATAGGTAAGCGTATACCGGGTGTCTCCGGCAAACACCGGTGTTTCATTTGTTATAATTATACCGTTAAAATTGGACAAGGAGTTTCAATCAAATAGACTTCACTGAATTCAGAAATAACTTAAATTTTGATATATGACTTGAAGATATTTGAGCAATATTGAATGAAATACTACAGTTTCATTTCGAAGAAGCAATTTTGAAAATGCTTAAAATTACATATATTAAATCGGCCTATCAAATTAACTTTTAATTTAATGTTGTTCTTGTCAACACAACGCACGATAAAGGAGTTATTTGCTTCAGCAAATAATCAATTTATTGCTTCCGTGGGAATTTTGTTGGGATATTTAGGGATTCGGGGTAGCACGCGGAATGAGGTTATGGAGGAACCTGGCAGGGAAACTCGTTCAACCAGTTTTATTTCCCGTGGAATTTTGCAACACATCAGTGAATTTCCATGTCACGCTTCACGTGCATCTTGGGCCTACTATATAAAACGTTCAGGGTTAACAGCTCAAGGTCATTCACCTTTGGCTTCACAAAACAAGTTTTCAAGTACTCCTCACAAGTTTTCCTTTCTGCATAAAGGTATCGTACCCCTTGTTTATAGTATATTTCAATATGAATGGTTCAATACCACAGATTTTAGTTTTTGGCCATTCGTTTGTTCGCCGTTTGCGAGTCAACATTCGGACACGAAGGCGGTGGGCTCACTTTTGGAGGATTTAGTTGCACTGTTACGGGAAAATTTGCATGTTAGCGTTGTGTGGCTGTGTGTCAGGTGATTCACCGTTATTTACCGCATTCACAATACTAAGGCGGCACTTTTGAGACAGTATTTATCTGTGGTACTGGACAAGAAAAGCCTTGTGTCTTCTTGTGGGAACATCGTGCATTTTGTAAAGCTGGCAAAAATTTGATGTCCTTAGATGGGTTGCACGCTAACCCCCACGGACAGTTAGCTTATATAAAAGCTATCGAGGGGCAATCTTGAAGGCTCTCTCGCTTTTACGTTAATGTGTCATGCACAGGAATTTACCAGCTTTTCCCAACTACAAGTTTTTTGCATTGTTTTCCTAATTTTGGTAAGACATTTTTAGCCAGTACTTATAAATATTATGTTTGATAATTTTATGGCCATATGTGTACTTGTTGTACTATACATATTGATTGACAAATGCTGATTTGTTCAATAAAGTTTGTTGCCATCTTTGGATAGCCTTCCTTGATGGCAGGTTTATCACCCTGGGCCTAAGGGATCTATGAATATTTGGGTGTGCACACATGGTTATGGCTGTTGTGACCCCTGTTGAGCATTCAGCAAGCCACTTGTTTCATTCATGAAACAAGTGGCTTGGCATAGATGGTAAATCTGTCCAGTTTGTTGTTTGTTTTATGGTATTTATATGTTGTGTTATTTCTGTATTGCACGGGACGAAAAGACAGATTTACGCACGCGTAAAGTAAATGGCAAAGTTGTTGCAAAAATTAAATTTACCAAATTTGCTTAACTTTGCCCACTTGCAATTATGAAAATTACCAATACCTTTACACCCGCTGTTTAAGAGCCATTGC